ATTTCAACCGGCTCCAGTAGCCATTGGTTAAAAAACTCGCGTTTATCAAAATCAATTTATTGTAGTACAATAAACAATTATGTTTTTCTTTCCTTTTCTTTCACTTTCAATTGACCCCCTTCACCCCTTGGTCAAGGAGCTTTGCACGCAGGCTAGTAAGGTTCAGTTTCAATAAATTATTTTATTACCTTCATCCTCTCCCTCAAATTACTGAGAATCGAAATCTACTCAGAGTGGACAAAAGTAAGTTTTAGCAGTCGGTCTAAATGTGTAAAACAGCAAACAGTTTCCTTACATGAATATATATATAAAGTTTGTATTGATAACTTCTTAGAAATGAAGAAATTTACAATTTGGGAACAGTATATGAACAGTGAACAATGGCAAAAAGGATTGTACATGGAGAGATACAAACGTAAAATAAATGTATACAAAGGTGGCTACCTTAAACAAATGCTCAAATAATATGACATCAAAGGAGACCGATGCAGAGAAAAAAGCTTTTAAAGGTTACATGCCGGCGATGCTATCGTTGAGGGTAAGATTTAGCAGAATAAGAAAAATATGAACTGCGGGCTTGATCCCGTGCTTTATTGTATCAGTTCCGGATGTAATTAAGGGCTAACAGAAATTAGGAAAGATGGCGACTAATTTAAAATGTACCTAAATTAAAAAAAGGACAAAGGGGAAGAAAACAATACAGATTCTGTACTGTGGGAATAGAATAATATCCAATCATTACAAACTCTGTCATCAAGAATAAACAATAACAAACCTACTGATGAGGAAATTAAAAAAGGTATTTGTTATGGGATCTTACCCATAATAACATAATGGACTATTCCATACGTAATAAATACTTCGCCTCAAGAGAAAGCAGAGAGTTCAGTCCGAAGTCAGGCGACCGGCTGATCGGTTGAACTCCCTGCCTTCGGGCGGGGAGGAACCCGAACGAGGCTACGCCGAAGGGCGGAGTCTCTTTCGGGGAGGTAAACCGACCCTGAACCCATTTATACGGGTTCAAAGGGCATATTTGTGGCCGATCCCACGGGATCGGAGATCCCACGTTAAACCGGCCTTGTGCCACATGATGCCCTCGTGTGGGTGGGGGTGACTAAATACCGCTCAGTCTGAAGTCGGGCGACCGGCTGATCGGTTGAACTCCCTGCCTTCGGGCGGAGAGGAACCCGAACGAGGCTACGCCGAGGGGCGGATTCTCTTTCGGGGATGTAAACCGACCCTGAACCCGTTTATACGGGTTCAAAGGGCATATTTGTGGCCGATCCCACGGGATCGGAGATCCCACGTTAAACTGGCCTTGTGCCACATGATGCCCTCGTGGGTGGGGGTGACTAAATACAGTTCAGTCTGAAGCCTGGTGTGAAGTCCGTCAGGAGTGTGTCAGTCAGTCAGAGCGAGCGAGTCAGTCAGTCGAGTCAGAGGCAGTCCGAAACAGAGTCGCGTTCAGACAATTACTACAAGACATAGGAATAGTGATTCTGGTCGAGACTACATTGTTCTCCCTACTAAACCTGATTGTTCGTACTACACTTTCTGTATATATTCCTGTTTGTAATATATCTGTGTTATTCCATATCCGTATTCGAGTTTTTCTTTATTGGTTCTACCTTGGACCATCACCGTGGTACAAGGGACCGGACCATAACAGTATTAAAAAACAAAGGAATAATAATGCATCATTAGATATTGAGGCTGGACTTTTGAAAATAGCTCACTTTCTCCTCGAATTTAGTATTAAGTTACTCAATTTTATGGAGGAAATCCAGAATTCGAAACACATTAGTGAGGTTTATCACGCATTAATGCACTATGGAAAGAAGACCCACCCACATACAGAGGTATCTCAATTGGATCCATTATGGTGAAAGTAGTAATGAACATTATATTAACTAGGCTTTCGTTATCATATGAAGGTCAACGCCTCACAACTTTGGTTTTCGTTTTCGCAAGGGATGTAATAATGAAATATATGACATCAAAGATCTCATGGAAATTGCATACCACTCCAATAAAAATGGTATACCTGGTATTTCTACCTCACAGCAACAGATGGCCACATCAAGAGACTTCCTCTTTTCAATTGCGAATCCACTGAATGCAACGATCTAATAGAGGCACTTTATCGCACCACATTATTATTATGCTTCACATTATTATTTACGTTATTATTAATTAGATTAACATTATTATTATTCATATTATGATTCACATTATTATTATTATGATTCACGTTATTGTTATTATGATCTGCATTATTATTATTACGATTCACTTTATTATTATTTTGATTCACTTTATTATTTTGATTCACATTATTATTTATATCATTATTATGATTCACGTTATTATTTTGATTCACATTATTATTTATATCATTATTATGATTCACTTTATTATTTTGATTCACATTATTATTTATATCATTATTATGATTCACGTTATTATTTTGATTCACATTATTATTTATATCATTATTATGATTCACGTTATTATTTTGATTCACATTATTATTTATATCATTATTATGATTCACGTTATTATTTTGATTCACATT